TAAATCGAAGTAAGTTCATGATAGGAAAAATGGGACTTTTTACTACAGAAAAGTATAAAGAAAAAGATGTCACCTATATGTCATCAGCCAGAATCAACCTCTACTGAAATCTTGGTGCATTTCTTACTAGTTTTTTTTTTTTTCATGCATTGTTGATGCAGAATTTTGCAGGCTAGTTTAAGTATATATATTTTTCTTTTTTTAAGTTAAGCCTTTCCTCATGACTGAAATTCTTTATATACCTCATTTTTACTAATGTTTGATAACCTATAAGATTATATAATAAGAACACGTTCTTTAACTTTTTTAAATTTCAAAAGGAGACCATTTTTGAAAGAAGGAAAAGATAGCGTTGTTCTCACGTCTTCTGAGGATGTCATGAGTCTTGACTTAAGCCCAAAAGGAAAGTTTCCTTAGCTGCTTTGTAGCATTAATTATATCTCTCTTGTAACTAGCATAATATCTAGTAGTAGCTCTTCAATGGCTGAGTATTAATGAAATACTAGTATATTTTATTTAATTATGTATTTCTTTATATAAGCATATATTCAACCTGAATCCAAGGATCCAGTTCTCAGGATGAATTTATTAACATAAATTGTTGCAGACCAGCTAGAGAATGGACGTGAGGATACGGAGAGGGGGAAGGGTAAGCTGGGACAAAGTGAGACAGTGGCATGGACATATATACACTACCAAATGTAAAATAGCTAGTGGGAAGCAGCCGCATAGCACAGGGAGATCAGCTCGGTGCTTTGTGACCACCTGGAGGGGTGGGAGGGAGGGAGACACAGGAGGGAAGAGATATGGGGACATACGTATATGTATAACTGATTCACTTTGTTATACAGCAGAAACGAACACACCATTGTAAAGCATTTATACTCCAATAAAGATGTTAAATAAATAAATAAATAAATAAATAACTTGTCTCGGTACCTGTGGGCTTCAGAAGACTGTGACTGGATTTTGGATAGTCTATCCTTAGGACTTGCTGGTGTTTGTATTAACTTATCTAATGCGGCATGGCATCACCGCCAAATGTAGTGGCTTAAAAGAACAATTAGCATTTATTTTCACTCACAGTTCCCAAGGCTCAGGAATTCAGGGGCAGCTTGGCTGGGCAGTTTTGACCCAAGGTCTCTACGTGAGGTTGCCGTCAGATGTTGGCTGGGGCTGTATGAGCTGAAGGCTTGACTAGGGTTGGAAGACCAGGCCCCTGGTGTGTGGATAGGGGCTAGGGCAGCACACCCCGTGGGAGCTCGTTCTCATCGGGGAGGGTGGTTTCTGCTCCATTTGGTTTTCTATGTTTTGCTCTTCCAACTGTTCTCTCTCTTTAAAGGTCTCTGTTGAGCTTTGTGTATCCATTGTAAAAATTCCAAGGCTGACTTCAAAAAGGTTAAGTAAATAAATGGTGAGAGGAACGTGTTATTATTGATGACAATTGACCTGCCTTCAGGTCAGCTGTTAGTTAACAGGTGTGGTTTTCCAACACTGAATACTTGTAAGGGGACTATCTGAAACTCACAGTCATTATTGGGAAAATTAGACAATCTTCTGAGATATATACCCTTTGCATTAGGAGTATATAAATGAATTAGAATTAGAAGTATTTGGAGATGTGTGTGTGTGTGTGTGTGTGTATAAAAAAACTGGATTTGAAGAGAGACTATAGTTGAACAAAGTAGTTTCCTAAAATCACTAACAATCTAAGATTATAAATCCAGTGATAGTAAAATTCACATTTTATGCAAAATTTAATCCATAGGGAAATTATTTTGAATTATAACAACCTTGAATTTATTCTACTTCTAATCTAAAGATAAGCCCTGCTGCTGAAAGAATTCTGCTGATATAATTGTATATGTTTTATCTTTAGTAATGTTTGTTATTTCTTTATTTAAAACAGTTTATTAGGCATCTCTTTATTTAAAGCAGGAAAGCATGAATAACAATTAAATATCCTCTGTAACCTCACTGCCAATATTACTTTATTTGTGTAATGAAAAAAAAGTGAGTGCCTCGAAAGGACATTGAAACAGATCCCAAATACATAATACAACTTTGAAGGCTCCTCTCTCACAGTGTTTGGATTGAAGGTGGCCAGTTAAATTTCTTATATCCTCTTTCAGAAAAATAAAAGATCTTTTATGAACAGTGCCATTGCAGGAGCCATGCACACATTTTAGAAGTTCACACAAAAAGAGGTCATATCACACACAGTTGTCCCTTGGTATCTGAAGGGCATTGGTTCCAGGACTGCCCCCCCATACCAAAATCCATGGGTGCTCAAGTCCCTTATAGGAAATCATGTAGTATTTGCATAGAACCTACACAATCCTCCTATGTACTTTATTATTTTTTAATTAATTAATTAATTAATTTACTTATGGCTGCGTTGGGTCATCGTTGCTGAGTGTGGGCTTTCTCTAGTTGCAGCGAGCAGGGGCTACTCTTCATTGCAGCACGTGGGCTTCTCATTGTGGTGGCTTCTCTTGTTGTGGCGCACGGGCTCTAGGCACGTGGGCTTCAGTAGTTGTGGCACACGGGCTCAGTAGTTGTGGCTCACGGGCTCTAGAGCACAGGCTCAGTAATTGTGGCGCATGGGCTTAGTTGCTCCGCGGCATGTGGGATCTTCCTGGACCAGGGCTTGAACCCGTGTCCCCTGCATTGGCAGGCAGATTCTTAACCACTGCCCCACCAGGGAAGTCCCCCTCCTATATACTGTAAATCGTCTCTAGATTATGTATAATATCTAATTCAACGTAAATGCTATGTAAATAGTTACCAGAACACAGCAATTCAAGTTTTCCTTTTGGAACTTTCTGGAATTTTTTTCCCAAATATTTTCCATCCGCAGTTGGTTGAATCCAAGGATGTGGAACCCGTGGATACGAAGGGCTGAATGTACACTGTTCTGACCTGTGGCTATTTTTATTTTTACTTAATGCTACCCTGTGAAGATCTTTCCACATCAGCTCACGCATTTTGGCCTCATTCCTGTTGGGGGTGACATAGTGCCACATAGAGTGTGTGTTTCATTAGCCCGTCATCTCCACGTATAGTATATTTGGGTTGTTTTCAGGCTTTTGCAGGTACAGATCCCTTGACGTACTTTTGATGTCCCTAAAATGAATCCTTCCGACGGCTTTCGTTTTCTTTGAATGTAGCTGTTGTTTTCATGCCTATTATTATTCAGTCCCAAATCAAAAGCACCAGCTTAGAGCGATACTTACCACACTAAAGGCAACTGTCTTCTTTGAGGTTTTCTTGGGACCTCAGGTCATTTCCTTACTTGAAGGTGGAAGTAAGATAAAAAGCCCAGAGCTCATGTCATCGTGTGTCAGCACCTTGGTTCAGAGTAAGTTGAGTACTTGCTCGAGGTGGGAGGTTCTGACACATCTCAGGGGCGTTTCATTCATTCAGTAAATGCTTATTGAGTGTCTTGCAGACATGGGGCACTGGGGAAAAGTTAAAAAGATGTGGTCTTTCTCCACTTGGAGCTTACCTCCCAGTGAGGAGTGGAGTGTGCAGGGCAGCCCAATGAGAGCATCAGAAGATGGGTAGAAAAGGGCTGAACCAAGATGTGGAGGAGAATCAGACATGCGACAGGCAGGCTGGGTGATGGGGGCTGGAGGGTGGGAGGAAGGGCACCCCAGGCAGAGGTGCCTGCACGACCTGCAGAGGCTCGGAGGCAAGGAAACTGAGGTAGGAGTAGGGACAAGGGATGGCTCTGGGGAGAACCCAACCATAGGGACTTAGTTCAGAAGCCCTGGGTGGCAACCACGCTCAGGCACTAAATGGTACCCATGGAACAGTGGTTCCCCGGTGGGTGGACTGGCCTCGTGTAAGATATTTTTGGAATATGTGGCATGACATGGTTACCAAATTTTTATTTTTCAAGCTAAGAAAGAAATTAAAAAGATAACCCTAAAGTTCCTATCCCTGTCATTTTTATAAAGGAAAGTAAGTTTTATGCCCAGTCAAGTAGCAAAGACATAATCTTAAAGAACAGTTCTTTCCAAGGAAAAAATAAAGAGTAACTATTGACACATTTATAAATATACACTACTATGCATATTATATAATAAGTTATGTTTGGATAGGGTATGTTAACTGTGATAACATACAGCCCCAAATCTCTGGCATTTAAAATAACCAAGTCCTGCTTCTTGTTCATTCACGCTCTTGTGGGTTGGCTGGAGGTGATGGTGGGGCTCTGGACTCCATGCCTGCACACACCCAGGCTCAGAGAGAGACATTCCGGCTCTCAGCTTCAGGGAGAGTCAAGGCAGAAAAAGAAAAGGGAATGTGGCATGTCCTGCACTGTCCCTTAAAACTTCTGCCTGGAACTGACACATGCCATTTTGCTTGCATTTCACCAGCCAATCAGAGAGTCCACTCGGAGGTCAAAAAGGAGTGATGAACGCAATTCTACCATGTGGTGGGAGGAGTAGATAATGTGGGAACAGTTAGCAACGACCACAACCAATTGTCCTTGTGTTTTTGTTGTGTATCTAGTTTTTGTTGTGTGCCTTCACCAGCTCCTTCCTGGCCCATCACATACTTGGGTGAGTATGCTATGAGTAGAGGGCTACATGCCAACGATAGCATAAGTGAAAGAGGATGGAGAATGTCCATAACGACATTTTGGAAGAATCCTAAGGCTTACTCAGGACAGCAAAACATACTAGGTGATGAGCTTCCAACTATTTATTTTGCTGCTAGACTCTGAGTTCATTTATTATTTATAGCTTGACATTATTGAGGCAACAGCTCTCCACAGCAGTTCCCTTTGCCCCTTTCTAGGCGACAAAATGCTATTCCTGGCAATTTAAGCACGTCTTAGGGCATCTTCTTAGGACCTACTGTTTCATTAATGTCTCATGAAAAATTTTAATGTCGGTTACATGTTAAAATCCTAATATTTTGGCCATGTTGGGTTAAATAAAATATTACATTATTAAAATAAATCCCACCCATTTCTTTTTGCTTTTCTTAACATGGCCACCAGAAAATTTAAAATATGTGGCTTACGTTTGTGGCTCCCGTTATATTTCTGTTGGTTAGTGCTGACCGCAAATATATAAAGAACTCAGGCTGATCAATAAGGAAAAGAAGCCAATAGGAATTGGGCAGAGGACATAAATTATTCACTGAAGAGGAAGTGAGGTTGGCCAATACACATATTGATTAGATCTGCAATCTGACTGCTAGTCAGGAGAGTGCAAGTCAAAAACACAATAACAATGTATACGCATGCAGTTAGTGAAGGTTGAAAAGTCGCTGTTTACTCACAGTACTGGGTATTGATGAGAATGAAGAGAATTGTAACTTTCACACACTGAAGGGGGCGTTTAGGTAGTTGCAGTCACTTTGGAGAGCATTTTGGTACACGTTCTACCCACAGCTAGTCCACTTATCACAGGGGTTCTCACCGGAGAGGCGATTTTGCCCCCCAGGGGACATTTGGCAATGTCTGGAGACATTTTTGGTTGTCATAAATGAGAGTGAGGGATACTACTGGCCTTTAGTGAGTAGAGGCCAGGGATGCAGCTAAACGTCTCACAATACAGGGGACCGCCACTCAAACTCAAGAGCTATCAAAGGCCCCCAAAGGAAAATAGTTCTGTGGTCCAGAAACTCTGACCTAGGCACGGATTCCAAGGTTGCCCTAGCCTAGGTGCATCGGGAGATACAGATCAAAGTTTTCATTCCAGGGCTCCATATTTACAATTGGGGGAATTTGGAAACAACTTAAATGTCCGTAAGTTTAAGGAATAAATGACTAATGAGGGACCCACCCGCGGAGGTACTATACTAGTCACGATGTGGAAAGATCGCCCGTCCAGCACTGAGTAAATCAAGTTGCAGGCTCACATGTACGTGGAAATACTATTTTCCATAAATACTTAAACTACAAAATAGTACTTTATGTTTTATGTATTGTGTATAGATGCATGCATGCAGAGTAAAAAGTCAAAAGCAAAATCAGGAAGGTTAAGCCATCAGCACCAAATAGTGGTTGCTTCTGGGGAGAAAGGTACATAAGGGAATTACTTCTGGAATGTTGACTTCGGACAGAAGTTTGAAGAAATTATGACAAAATATTAGCTTTTGTTATTGTAGCCGATGAGACATGGGTGTTTGTTATATTACTTTCTGTTTTAGTTTTTTTCAATATTGGATTTTTTTTTCCACGATGAACACGCCTGCGCACTTGCTGAAGTGCGCCGCGGGGTCGGTAGTACCCGGTGCCAGCCCGTGATTAGGCGTTGTGCCTGGTTCTGTTTGGTTCCCCAGTGTCGACATGGGCCCTGGCACAGCTCAGCCCATGGTAAGTGTTTGCTGCACAAGGTGTACATGGGATGCTCCGTGGGGTTCCTCACTGTGAGCTGTCTGCTGAGAGGTGCTTGGCCACACCCTTCAGTGCGATGACCCCTCGGGACCTGCCTGCTGGCCAAGTGGTCACCCCCAGGCCCAACCGCTCCTCACCAGACCTGGACATGCCCTTCACCCTCTGAACTTCTAATGGCATATTGCAGAGAGTAATCCAGCTGAAGATACTAAAAATCACACCTCCAAGAGTCTTGTGTGTGTTCAAAGGGAAATAGATGTCATAGCACGTAAATTGCATGCAAATCTGAATGCCTGGGGAGACACTGCAGAGGGGAAGTCTGCTGTTTGGGCTTTGCTGTTGGGTTCATTCGACAACCCTGACTCAGCCGGGAAGGGTTACACAGCACCATTTCATAGTTCAGTGAAATGTTGAAGACCAGCAATGGTGGGCTTCCTCACAAGCTGCGTGTTTTAGGATTCTCCACCTTACAGGGGGCGCCCTCTCTCACGATCATTCGAGGTTAGGCCCATGGAAAGGATTTCCGCCTGTGGAGCTGGGCTTGTAGCCTCATTACCCACCATTTTTTCTGTAATACATTGAAATAATGAACTGATGTCATGGGAAAATAGAATTATTAAGGCTTTTATAAGATACCCCTTCCCTTTAGAATCTCAGTGGGAGAACAGCTTAATTAGATGGTCGGAAGGTGTTTTCAAAAGACTTTCAGAATGGAAAATCCAAGTCAGTCTTGTGCTGGTCTGTGTGTCTGCATCACAGAGCAAGGCTGAACCAGGAATCCAGTCCCTCATGGGGACCTCATCCCTCTTACTGTGACCAAATGGTATAATTGTACCATTGTATTTGCTGTGATCAAATGGTATAATTTATTTTCATGCTGGATTTGCATCTTCATCCCCCAGTGGAATATCCTTTTCTTAAGTCCCGGTATTAATTTGAATCGCCTTTGAAGTTAACAGAGGGAAACTTTGCTGCAGTCTTAGTACTAGAAGGCCAGCCTAGTAGCTGTATTATTATGTCTGTCTGACAGATTTTCAGGCTCACCAACAGTCCTCCTGAGATTATGGGCTTTGCTGACTACCTCCCATCAGCCCCTTGACCTCATCAGCTATCCCAGTTGTAAACATGTCTCAAGGAACCCGGAAACAATCCTCAGAGTAAAACGTCCTGTCACACACATCTGCAAAAGCGTTTTTGTTGGTTTGTTTGTTTTGTTTGTTGGGGTTTTTTTTGGCCGCACTGTGCGGCACTATGGGATCTTAGTTCCTTGACCAGGGATGGAACCCGGGTCCCCTGCAGTGGAAGCGTGGAATCCTTAACCACTGGACCACCAGGGAACTCCCTGCAAAATGTTTTATGAGATACATAACACCAAAGCCACATTTACAGAGTGATAGTTTCGCTGAGAATTATTTAAAGTCCGCAAGGTCAGGCATTGTTACTGTGAGAGTTGCTGGGCTCTTTTGCCTTCCACCAAATGTGCAGGAGTGATGCCCGTAAGTGTACGTGCCAGGCCGGGGTTGGGCAGTGCCTGCTGCCCAGAGGGTCCCGGCCATGCCCTTGCCATTGAATGCGATGGTGCAAAGTTCAGATCCACTTACCATCTAGGAAGAAACTTTACTGAAGCCCTAGTCCTCGTTCATTTATTCAACAAGTATATATCAGCTCAGCTATGTTCTCAGAGCTGGGGACCTGGCAGTAACCAACATAGATCAAATTTTCATCCTGGAATTTACTTTCTTGTCATGGTGGTTAATCATAAATGAGATTATCGAAACAATGGCTAACACATTTTACCCAACAAATTATGCCCACAGTAGCGGTGACGCATGGTCTCCTTTTAGAAACATAGTGTAGCTTAAGAAGACCAGAATTCTCAAGTTCTTTCATAAAGTCACATAAACTTTTCCCTGCCCCCGTCGGTGGTATTATTATGGAGAAAGGCATAGACATCAGTTTTCAAGTAGCTGAGTGTACTCTCGGTTCTGGACCTAAAAGTTATACAATGGATGGTGGAGTTTTTCCTTACAGTCGGAAATGGGCCCTGTCCTGTTTCTTCTGTATGGTCAGGGGAATTACTCTATTACTGTGCCATATGGCTGTGGGGTTTGTACGTGCGTCTTGGTGCTGCAGTCTCCCCCTTGTTTGTCACAATCTGTTTCTTTTGCCCACTGCCCCCCTCCCCTCTTCACAGATGGTTCTTTTTTTCAGTTGTTGTTATAAAACTGTATTTCCTCATGAGACTGTTGTTAAACACCGTGTTTGCTTTCTTGCTTTTCATCGTGAAGTAAAATCGTGTAAGTTCCTCACGAATATGGCTTTGTTTTAAAGAATTCTAATGGTACCAAAATGGAGTGAAAAGTGAAATTAGTTCTCTGAAGTGTTCCTTCCCCAACTACCCTGTATTAATCAGGGGTCTCCAGAGAGCTAGAACCAGTAGAGAGTGTGTGTGTGGTGTGTGTGTATCTATCGACATGTAGAGAGATACATGGTTAGATACATACATATATTGATTTTTAGAGAGATACAGCTATATAGTTAGTGAGATTTATCCATAGCTGTCCATTTATATCTGTATCTCTGTATATAGGGGGATAGAGACATTTATTTTAAGGAATTGGTTCACACAATTGTGGAAGCTTGGACGAGACCAAAATCGGTAGGGTGGCTGGCAGGCTGGAGACCCAGGGGAGAGGTGTAGTTTGAGTCCAAGGGCAGTCTGCCAGGAGAATTCCTTCCTGCTTGCGGGGGCGGGGGGGGGTATCATTCTTTTTCAGTTCAGGCCTTCAACTGAGTGGATGAGGCCCACACATGTCATGGAGGGTAATCTGCCTTAGTCAGCATCTACTGATTTAAATGTTCATATCATCCCAAAAGTACTGTCACAGAAACACCTGGAGTAACGTTTGACCAAATATCTGGGTACACATAAAACTAACAGACCTCTATTCCCCTTTCTTCTACAGAGGATGCTAATTCAGTATTTTGGTGCCATCCTTCCAGATGTGTCTGTGCATTTGCTAGTGTGTGTGTCTGTGTGTGTGTGTGTGTATTGAGAGGTTTAACACACTTAGAGGATGATCTTCTTTCTTCACCCTCCCCTTTCATCTGTTAATGTAATAAATGATGTTGTTAGAATCCTAGTGTTATATCATCCTTTCTTCCTACAAGGAATAGGGCTTTGGTTTGTTTATCTTTGGTTTTTCATGTACAAATGCTTACAATTTTTAAGCAGAAACATCTCAACTTTATTCCGTTATCATTGCTCTGACTTTTCCACTGTATGTAGGCTTTGAAAATTAGGGCTGTATTTCGAGGGCCTAGAGTTTCCAGCTGACCGCTAAATGGGGGCTTCCACTTGTAGGTAGCTTACTTTTTTTTCCCTTAATAATAATATTTTATTCTCATGAATGCTTTGTTTGTAATTTAAAAAATAAGCTGTCTGTAGCTTCAGGGAACCACGTGCCAGTGGGCTTCTGACAATTCGGCGGGTGGACAGTACTTTCCTTTGTGACAGGTCCTTTGTTGAATGGTCTTGGGAAGCCGTGGTCAGGGGTTGCTAAAGATTGTAGCTCCCCTCCCAGCTTCCTGTCGGGGGCACTAAGGTGACCCAGCCAAAACAGAGTTTAAGTTATAGCTAAACACTAGTTTTAAAAATAGAAATGTCAGTCGTTTGGAACAGATTCCCAGAAAATAGGTGACAAAGGTAATGATTTTTAGTAGTAAGGGAAGTCTCTGTGGAGCCTAGAGCTACTACTTCTGTGTTCAATACCATTTTATCCTGAGCCCTTAAATTGCATTATCTATTTTTTTTTCCTGATAATCTTCATTTCTGACCTAAGGTTATGCTAAGATTTCCAAGGCCGCCATCAGAAGGGGCTTACTTCACATTTAGGGAAGGCTTACCTTAGGGGCTGGAAGGGGCTGTGGTTCTAGAACAGACCCCCTTTTGATTGGGGTAGGAAGAAGTGGAGGTGAGGCTGATTCCAAAAGAACCAGGAACTGCAGGAGCCCTGGAGAGCATCCCTTTATTTATTATCTGCCAAAGGGAAGTCTTCCTTTTAACCGGAATCCTTTTTTTTTTGGCTATACCACGTGGCTTGCAGGACCTTAGTTCCCTGCCAGGCATTGAACCTGGGCCCTCAGCAGTGAAAGTGCACTGGACCACTAGGGAATTCCCTGGAATCCATAACTAATGGTTGGGTTGGCAGGATTGGTGAAAGTAGATGTCCTTTGAGATGTTTCTGTAGGGTGGGTTTGAAATATGTGTTAAAAAACTCTCAGAATAACTCTTTCCTTTAATCCAGAAATACGGCTTCTAAGAATGTCCTCTGAGAAAATAAGAAATGATATGCACACAGCCTCAGCTCTAGGAATTTTCATTGCAGGTTTGACTCAGAGAAAAACAGGAAGAAAATCTCAGAGTCCAAGAATAGGGATCCATTAAATAACTAAGATTCTGCAATATGTGTGATACCCCACAGCCGTTGGAAATGTTGACGCAGAATTACTTTTATTGGTAGATGTTGCTGTATATTCCTGACAGACATATAGGAAATAATCCTGTGTTTTAGTTTAAAATTTTTTTTAAAAATGTGTGTGTGTGTCTGTGTGTGTGTCTGTGTGAGATTGTGTGTCTGTGTGTGTGTCTGTGTGAGATTGTGTGTCTGGACTGAAAATTTCTTTTCTAATCTATGTTTCTGGATTTTTTTTCTGTAGCAACTATGAGCTCCTTGTGGACTTATATAAAAAGGAAGTGGCTACATTTTGTGCAGCATGCCTCATTTATAAGTCAGGAGATGATTGTAGAATATTCGAGAAACACTGTCATCCAAAGAAACTCAGCGAGACTGCAGCATTTACGATGCAGGCAATCCCAAGTTTTCTGGACCATTTATGCAGCAGTGAGTTGACAAGTTAGCTGGGAGGATGCAGGTGTTGGGGGCAGTGACCTCTGGTTATCAGAGACACTGAAAGCTTAGAAGTAGAGCCTGCCTGGGCTGACTCCATGCTTGTTTCTCCTTAAAATTAAATTATTGTGAAACATTTCATTCTGTAGATAGAATGACCTATTTCAAAGAATGCACAAGCAGGAGGGTATTAGATAGCCTTTACTGTAGTCACAGAATTATACAGTTCACTTTGCTGTAGTATGCATGTCAGTGTTAAAAAATGAATGGTATTCTCTAAAACTTTAAAAATTCTAATATTTGACATTTAATATATTTGGGCAGGCAACTAGGAGCCTTATTGAAATAAGCGTGAGGGGTTGCCCGTGCCCTCTCCTCATTCCATGAACAATTACATTCTTAATAAAAATCTGGTAAAAATAGAGCTGGGCCACTGTGGGATTGCCCTAAACTTAAGGTTTGCGTCCCCGAGCGCTGGTGGGTGCAGCTGGCAGGGCTCAGAGTCACGTGATCATTAACTCTGGATCTTGAATTCTTACCCTGGGTTGAATTTTAGGATCTCACTGAATCCTTTGTTACAAGGTGACTTAATCAGCTTGGGATGCTATAACAAAATACCGTAAAATGAGTAGCTTAAAAACAAATTTATTTCTCACAGTTCTGGAGGCTAGAGATCTGTGGTCAGGGTGCCAGCACGTGGGGTTCTCGTCCTGCTTCCTGGTGCATGATGACCACTGTCATCACCTGTCCGGCATCTGCAGAAAAAAACACCCTGTGGTGTTTTCTTTTTCCTGATGTCAAGCGTTGGGGTTTTCTCTGACACCAAATCCATGTCGTTTTTCCACACCAGTTCTCCAGTTCTCCGACACCAGCAGGGTGTCTAACAATTCAGTTCAATTCTGACACTATCTAGAGTCAACAAGGACCCCATGGGTTAAGGGCTCAGTCCCCCAAGACTGCCCCCAGCTCAGATGCTAGTCGCAGGGCCCACGGGCCACCTTCTGCCTGACTGGCTATAAATCTGGGGTTTCCCGCAGCCCCTCCTCGGGTGCAGTAATTTGCTAGAACGACTCACAGAACTTGGGAAAGTGCTTTACATCCTGCTGCTGCTTTATTATAAAGTCTGTAACTCAGGAACAGCCAGATGGAAGAGAAGCACGGGACCAGGCATGGGGGAGGGCTGCGGGGCTTCCATGCTCTCTCCCGGCACCTCTGTGTGTTCACCAACCCAGCAGCTTTCTGAACCCCGTTGTTTAGGATGTTATTGGGGTTTCATTAAGTAGGCATGATTTGCTCAGCTATTCAATCATTGGCCATTAGTCCTTGGACTCAGTTTTCCACCCTCTCCTCCCCACCCCAGAGGTAGGAGTAGGGGTGAGAGGGGCAGTGGAGCTTAAAGATCTAACCTTCTAATAAGCTCTCCTAGAGACCAGCCCCCATCCTGAAGCCACCAAGAGTCATCTCGTTAGCATCCAAAAAGCAAACTCTGAGGGTTTTAGGGGCTGTGTGCCAGGAAAGGGGGTCACCACAGCCCCACCTGGTCTCCGTGCTCCCACTCTTAGAGTCTGTTTTCCACCCAGCAGCCAGAATTGATGCAAACTATTGACAGTGGACTGCCCCAAACGTTCCCCATCTCGCTCAGAGCAAACTCCAGTCCTGCCCTGGCCACTGAGGCCACCTGTGGTCACCAGCCTCCAGGCTGGTCCCTGGGCAGCCAGGTGTGGCCTTCTGCCTGCCCCTCCCCCTCCAGGTCCCCTTGGCCTCTTCCCCCACCTCCTCGGTCTGTGCCCAGCGCCCCATCTCAGTGAGCCCGCCCCAGCACCTGTTCCAGACTGAGCTGCATGGCCCCGGGGCTCACAACTGCCCTGATCCAGTCTACTTTATAGCACACTTACATCTTAGGTCTGTAGTTGATGCCTCTTCCTCCCGTTAGAATGGAACACCCCGAGGGCGGGGTCTTTGTCCCTGAATTTCCAAGCACAGCACCTCGCTCTTCGCAGCGCTCAGCACACACCTGCGAATGGACCATGGCCAGCTGCTCTAACCTGGTGCTGAGAACCCGGAGTGGGTTCTCACCTCACTCCTGCCCGTCGTGCCCAGCAGGGCAGGGGATGCACGCTGCTGTTGGGTGATGATGCTTGCTCTTCCCCTCTGACCTGCTTCCCTCTTCATTTCTAGACCGGCCTCATTGTTGCCTGCTACCACGGCTTTGTGGATACTGTGGTGGTCTTGGCAGACTGCCCCCACGTTGACGTCAACTGGCAGGACAGCGAGGGCAACACGGCCCTAATCACGGCTGCACAGGCAGGTAAGACCCAGCTTCTCTTCCCTCCCAGGCAGTGGTGCTGGGGGCTGCACTTGACCTCGCTCCTGAGATTGACGGCAGAAGGATGTAGTTGATCAGAGGTCGTGCTTTACTGCTAAGAGGGACAAGGAAAGGGCTGAAGGTGGGTGACGTTCTCTTTGTGTGTTTGGGACAGTGTGTTGCTGAGTCCAAGCTCATACTGCTCTCTGCGTGACAGGCCGGTCAACCCAGAGGTGAGGTGTTAGGGTGAGGAACAGGGACTTTATTCAGAAAGCCAGCAGACCAAGAGGATGGTGCAGGTGGACTGGTGTCCCAAAGAACCGTCTTCCGTGAGTTAGAATTCAGGCTTCTTTTATACTAAAAGGGGAGGGGGTGTGGCTGGTTGTTGGAAACTTCTTCCTGCCAGAATCCTTCATTCTTGCAGCTGTCTGAGCAGGTCTGGTCACAATGTTCCTATAAACCTCCAACAAGACAGTTGTTTTCTGTTTTGCAACTTTTTATCTCTATGTGGATGGAAAAGTGTTACACCTTTAGAGATCAGGGCCTGGAGAACGAGCTATCCTGTATATTTCAGGCTATAGGCAACATTCTTTTACAAAAGGTGCAGAGCCAGCGTGACTAAGCACAGGCGACAGAGTACAAAGGTGAGAGCAAAAGGAATAGACCTAGTAGGGAGTCAGGTCTGCTGTCTGTTCCAAGTGCAGTTTACGCACTAGTGCAGGACTCAGCGTGGGGCAGAGCTAGCTCTGAAACTGCCCGAAGCCTTTCAACAAGAAGCTGCCCCAGAAAGCCAGCTCCACGTCCCCTACCCCAGAGCACTGCACCCAACCTGTGCTCCCGGGATCTGGGAGATGCTGGTGAACTCATGAGTGGAAGAGGCACTAGTGACAGTGAATGTATACAAGTGGACATGTTTATGAGGTAACCTTGCACTTGGCTTGGGGATGTAAAGGAAACCAGGGGCTTCTTGCAGAGAGTGTATCAGTGTAACAAGGTGAGGCTGGTAGTGAGAGCGCCTTGGAAAGGGTAAGTGAACTTCGTCCTGGGATGTTCATCTCCAGAGGTGGTCCTTACGCCAGCATTGCCAAGTGCCCTGTGCACAGCTCTCCTCTTCTGGAATTGTACTCGGACATTTTGGGGACAAACATGAAACTGTACTTGTCCCTTCAGAACTGCGCTTCCTTTGTAACCGTGGTACTAACCGGGTTTGTAATAGACCACTTTCAAAATTCTTGGCCATCAAAATTACGTCTCTTGCATCACTCAGGTTCTCAGTTTCCAGCAGAGAAGCTACTTCTGGCTGAGTTAGGAAGAAAAGGCGTTTGTTTATTAAAGAATGTGGGTCACCATTGCTGAGAGTTGTTGAGAACCAGACTCAGGGCCGGGACGCTGCAGAAAATGCCCCAAACCACACAGCGTGTTGATTGTGGAAAGGGAATTTCTGCCGCTGCCACCCAAGGGGGACTTCCCTGTCCTGTCTTGCATCACAGGCCCCTGTGTCTAATCCAGCATGGGTGACTGATTGCGGAGCCCAGTGGAAGCAGAGACTCAGCACCTTGCAGTTTTGTCCCCATAACGGGAAGTAGTCTGTGCTCACCTGCTTTTCAATCGAGAAGCCTAAGGCAGAAAACCCCCCAAACTTAGCCAGGCGTCAGGGCTGTGCTCACACACGTCCACCTCGTCAGGTGTCAGGGCGTGAAGCTTTCCCTGCATGGAGGCACTCCAGACTTTGAAAGCCCAGGTGCACAACGTCCTGAACAGCAAAAGAGTAAAAGGATATTGTGAGAGGCGTTCAGTGACCGTGACCTTATCACTTATTACCCCCACTGGCCAAGAACCTGGGCAGGGACCAGGGGTGGTGAAGTGAAGGGCACTTCTGCCCTTGAGTAATTGTCCAGCTAAATGGCCATCTGATGGGGCTCTGATGAACGGGTGCGCTGAGAGCCTTGGCGTGAGAACACCCCGTCTAGCCTGGTGGTTTGGGACAGGGGTCGTGGAGGGGTTGGGCATTGAGCTGGGCATTGCAGAGGTCAGAGGGAGGCCAGCCGATGCACCACAGAGCTTCAGGACCAATAGGGAGCCAGGCATGTCTTAGGAAGAGCCAAGGACCATGTGTGTCTAGGATGGGGGAGGGGTGGCCCCACGAGGAGGCAGGGGACCAGGTCATCAAGGGTCTAGATACAATGCGAGGGAATGCATTTGAGTGGCGTGAGGCTGGGTGTGTGGTGACGGGCGAGATGATCCTGGTGGGCACAGAGGCTGTTTCAGAGAGCAGAGAGGGAGCAGAAGCCGAGTGGCAGAAGGCTCAGGTCCTGGTGGTCGTGATGGTGGGCTGTAGGGGAGAGGTGGGTCTGGGCTGGCTTTCAGCCTTTGGAACGCCAGCTCAGAGGGGTGTACATGAAAGGAATGGTGGTTGGAGAAACGTTGCCTCCACTCGGTCCCCAGACCTTTGAAATGCTGAGCCATCTAAGTAAGAGGTCTTCACGGCAGGAGGAAAGTGTGGAGCGTCAGACTCCAGTCCCTGCCGGAATACAGAAGGGATGCCAGGCGTTCTGAGCAGCAGGGTCAAGGCATGGACGAGAGCACGAGTCTCATCCCGGAGTATGAGAAAGTACAGGAAGGCGAGGTTACTTATTGATTTGCGAGAGCTCTTTATGTGTGTAGGGATATTAGTGGTTGTTTAATACCCATGAGGCACTTTCTGAATTCTTGCCTATTTGAAAATGTTTTTATTTTGTTTTCATTCGGAAAATAACAACTTGTCTTTTGCTTTTTTAAAAAAAAAAATTTTGTGTTGCAGAGGAATAGTCTAAGAGTCCAGCCTAATTTTTGTCTTTGTTGATACCCTGTTTCTCAGCCTATAAAGATCTCCTGCCCCCTATCCTTGAGAAGAACCCAACCAACCACCACCAACAAAAAAAAACCCAACTGTCACTATCATATATTTCCATTCCTGCTCTCTGTGTTTGACTTACATTAGGCATATTTTTACTTCAGGGAACACTTTTCTGTTATCTCTTTGAACACTGCATCTGCCTTGCTTTGGTTTTGCTTTCTGGGGTTCCCTCTTAGGTGTAGGTTAGGTCCTCACGTCACAGCTTTCTCTCATCATTGTTTTTTTCTTTTCTATCTTTTACTCCAGGATCTGTGGAAATGCTTCATATTTCTTCATCAGTTTGTTTTTATGCTATTCATTGGGTTAAATTTATTTTTTTCTTCATGAGAATGCTTATGTCTTAGTCCGTTTGGGCTGCTATTACCAAAATACCATAAATTGGGAGCTTAAACAACAGAAATTTATTTCTTACAGTTTTGGAGGCTGGAAGTCCAAGGTCAAGGTGCTGGGCCATTTGGTTCCTGGCATGCATGTGGCATCTTCCTGCTGTGTCCCTGTACGGTGGAGAGAGCAAGATCCAGGTCTCTGGTGTCTCCTTTTATGAGGACACCAGTCCTATTGGATCAGGCACCACTCTTCTGACCTCATTTAACCTTAAGTTACCCGCACAAAGGCTCCATGTCCAAGTACAGTCACGTTGGGGGCTCGGGGCTTCAACATAGGAATTTGGAGGAAGACAACGTTTAGTCCATAACGCTCATCTTTAAGCAGAGCCTGTGCTTCCCTGAACTGGTTTATTTAAGTCAAAGATGACACAGGTCCTTTCAAGGTTAGAGAGAGGCCCAGCAAAGGGAGAAGGAAAGGGCTCCATGTGCTTTCCAGGCTCTGGGTCTGAGGCCTGGCGTGCAGAGGGAGAAATCCAGGCGGGGCTGAGGGCAGTCACAGCGGCGGCTCCCGTCCCTGGGCTGCAGGCGTGTGGTGGGGCAGCGGTCTGTGCCGGCCAAGGTTGAGCATGACACACCCCTGCCTGGTGTCGTTTCTGCTGGCCGCAGGAGCTGGGCGTGGGAGCGCCTCAGGTCTCCTGCTTGGCTCGTGTGCCCGGGCATTGGAAATGGCATCAGTGGGTCTCCGTGCATCCCCACAGCCCCCCTTTTTCCCCGGGGCACTGCTGGAGTTGCCCCAGGTCTACTCAAACACATGTAATGCACAGACTCATGGACTTTGAGAACGAACTTATAGCTACCAGGGGGGAAGGGTGGGGAGAAGGGATAGTTAGGGAGTTTGGGATTGACACGTACACACTGCTCTATTTAAGATGGATAACCAACAAGGACCTGCTGTACAGCACAGGGAACTCTGCTCAATGTTATCTGGTAGCTTGGGTGGGAGGGGAGTTTGGGAGAGAGTGGATACATGTATATGTATGGCTGGGTCACCTGAAACTATCACAACATAGTTAATCGGCTATACCCTAATATAAAATTAAAAGTTAAAAACAGAAACAAAACAAAACCCTGTAATGCCCCATCCTCCCCTACAGCTGGCTCCTGTCTCCACTGCCTCTGACAAATTCCTTTCTGGAATTCTGGCCAGTGGATGGTCCTTCTGTGGTTTCTAGTACCAATAAGGCTTCTCCCTATTGCTTTGGTCATGGGCGGGAAACTGGGACAGGGGACAAGACTCCTGTGTTCATGGCCCTCCTGCTGTGACCTCAAGAGCGCTGGTGGTCCCCAGTGGAGCCTCCCCTCCAGACAGAGTTAGACTGGAGGGCAGTTGGCAGGACTCACATGGCTGGGGTGTGTTTAAGTGTATGGGTACCAGAGGTGAGGGCGTGGCGGGGGGCGGGGATGTGACCCAGACCGGGTCGTGCAGGAGGCTGGCAACATGGTGGCCATCCTGGGTGCTTTCTCCACTCGGCCTTGCTGATGTTCTTATAAGCTGATCGTAGAAAACGATACACAATGTTTGGAAAAAAACCACACATAAGCAATTAAACACATAAAGCAATTAAACTTAAGGGTGAAGATGTCTTAGCTCCTCACTCTTAGTTCTTTCCCATTTTACTTTCTAGAGGTAATAACCATTGTTAACGACTGGATGCGTAGATAAGTTCCTTTCCATCTTCTTTTATAGAAACAAAATATTGTAACGTATTTTCTCTTTTTCC